AAAAAAAAATGTCTTGTTTTGAAATGGAATGGACTTACCTTATTGCCTTGTTGTTTTCTTTGTTGATTCCTAGCGTCTCAGGCCATTTTGAAGCGTTTTCGGCGAGTGAGCGCTATGTTGGTGTTCAACTGCTTAAAGAAAGATTGGGGATCGAGTGAATGGAAATGGAACTGCAACATCTCTGCTTTGATTTTCTGGACGAATCGAGACTGGTGGTAGTTTTTTGGCGGAATTATTCGCTTCGGGCGACGGATGCTTCTAAAATAGGTTTCCGGCCTTGTCTTTCTTTTAGCAGTTGAACACCAACATAGCGCTAACTCGCCGAAAACGCTTCAAAATGGCCTGAGACGCTAGGAATCAACAAAGAAAACAAGGCAATAGGGTAAGTCCATTTTATTTCAAAACAAGACATTTTTTTCTCTCTTTTAAGGCAAACCGCTAGCATCCCATACAAACCTTTATAAATATAAAACGTTGCGCAACACGGTAAGACCGCTTTTCTAGTAGTGAGCTTGGGCTGCCTGTGTCAAGGGTCGTGGATATTATTTGAAAAGAGCACTGGTTGAAGCAGGGTGAAGGGGTGGTTTCCATCAGAAAGATATCCTGGTAGTGATTTTCGCCTACTTCACCTGTTATTTGGCTCTCCTTGACATGAAAATGATCACGTCAATTTTTCCTCACTGTGCGCTGAAAAGATTTTTTTTTCTGGAACGTTTTGTAGGAGGATGCTGTGAGACACAACCCAAGGATGTCGCCAAAATACGGAGGATAGTCGACAGTATTGGGTCACCATAAATGTAGATGTCGGGCTTTAGCAGGGTTCCGCTGCCGGCGGTTCTGCGTAAATTTCTCCACGTAGGTATCAGGGACGTGGCGGCAAATTCAATGCTGAATGGACGCGAATCACATCGCCTATTAGTGCCAATAGTTATTCAGCCAATAAGAAGCAAGCAAGGGCAAGTCAGAAATTTACAATAGAGTGCTATACATAACACTCATAACGATATGCGAAGTTGAAATACATTATTTTAATAACCGGTATTTCATGGCTAGTTGAGCAGTCTCACGTGTAATTACGCAATTGCCGATAATAAATTCTGGTTTGGCGTGAAAATGATTCATTCTAGCTCAGTTTTCAGCAAAGCCACGAAGAGGTGGATGGCGTTTCCTCCCACCTAAAAATCGCATGGGTCTAACCTTAAACACTTCCCAAGCCAAGCTGTCCCAGCTTGGCTTAGCCTGCTGATCAATCCTTTTTGCCGTACCTTATAAACAACTGAGCACGAATAGGAATATTGGTGAATAGAACACTTTTCGTTGCCATAAGAGTGTCATTAAATCAAACCAAAATAATCACAACGACCCATCAGAAGGAAGGAAAATACCTTCAAGAGCCAATAAAAACTCAAAGTAAAAACTACAAAATTGCATTAAGCGCGGAAAAATACCTTCAAGAGCCAATAAGAACTCAAAGTAAAAACTACCAAATTGCTTTAAGCGCGGGAAAACGCCCGCGACCAGTTCGTGATTGGTTTTGATTAAATCCTGCATCTCATTGGTTGAGAGGGTGGGTTTCTCTGGACCAATCAGCGCCAAGTAAAGCAAAAACAAAGTAAACCCGGACTTCTTTTCACACTCGCTTGAAAATTGCTTTAAGCCAGCGTTAACGTAATCGTTGCTTTGAGCAGTCCAGGTCTCCTTAAGAACGGTTGACACAACTGACAATTCATAATAACTTTTTTTTTATTTGCGAGAATGTCTTTGCCAGTATTTGATTATGCCAAGTGCATATGCACAGACACAGAGACCAGTTCCATGCACACCATTAATCGAAATTCGTTTGTATCAGATTCCTCACAAGATGCATGTGAAATTATTAGAACACAAATATCTTCTCCGATTAAAAGTTCATATATTTAAAAAAAGAACATTTCGCGCAGTTACTGCCCCGGGGTAAAATATCTCTGTTTTGTTTTCTCTTTAATCAGGCAGTACCAGCAACATCGCACTGCTGCAACCTGCCGTCATCGAAATAAAATTGCTCGCACAATCTTTTCAGGATTTCTGATTTCTTATTTTTCGAATTAGGAATTATCCGTTCGGTAAGATCAATTACCCATTCGGTAAGGTCAAGAATTAGATTTTCGTTAAGAGGACGATCCGGTAATTTGAAAGCAGAGGGATTAACGGTGACCGTTTTTCCCCCTTGAGAAAATAGAGTAGACTTCTCGCCGATTTCCAGGAGTTTTCCCAAGAAGTTTTAAGACCTCGTTCAACTGTTGTACATAGCATCCAGTGTCTGGCTGTAGTAGGATGTAATTTGTTTTCGTCTGAGCTTCAGAGCAGCGGTAACAAGATCGGTGTCAGGCGTCCACTGTTCGGGGACAAGGGTTAAACGCTGAGGAATCTCGAACTTCTCGAGACGCACTGCAAGAAAGAGAGAAGTGGTGTCACCTTCCTTAAATGCGTGTTGTTAGGGAGCATTCCTTTGTAACTACTGAGGCCAAAAAAACACAAGTAGACAGCCCTCTTCAACTAAACGCTTTGTATGTACTACCGACTTCACCACACACCTTTGTGATAAATTAAAAATTTCAACGTGCAGTGAAACTTCCATTCAGGGAACACCCAAGGCAAGTATCCCTTCAATAGAGGTGTCCCTTCAGGAGAGGTAACGGAAAAACAATTTTTCCGGGACCAAAGTTGGTGTCTCAAAGAAGAGATGTCACTGTAGTTTACAGTTAAGTGGTTTCTGTAGGGACAAGATTCAAGGAAGTCTAATATTTTCGCAAAATTCTCCACGGTAGACCGAGCTTATAAACGCTGTGACACTTGCAGCGTTTTGTGTAGCGAACTGAAGTTTTCTCTACTTGCTAATGGGACGCGAGTGCGCTCTTAAAGAAAAATTCAAGTCACTTACAAGCTTTGCCGAGAGCCTGCAGATCTTTGAGGACGGCATCTTGGATGGCTTTATTCTTGCACTGTTCAGCCCAGTCATCGGTATGAACACCGAGCGACACTGCTAGGGCCTTGAGCTGTTTAGGGCGTGGCACCACCAGGCACACCACAAAGGTGTTACGGCTCTCTGCATACACACACAAAGCTTCCACATACTGACTCTGTGCAAGCGCTGCTTCTACTTTGCCAAGAGACACATACTCTCCAATCTGCAGCTTCACAAGATCTTTCTTACGATCTGGATGGGATACAAAACATTGAAATAAAATATTTAGCTTGAAATTTGGGGAGTTTGCCACTTGTCATTACACACCATTATCCCTCACCAGAGTTAATTAACTCAGCCCTCACCTATGATTTTCAGACATCCATCGGGATGGAACTCGCCTATATCACCAGTATGGAACCATCGCATGCCATTTCTGTCTTCTTCAAAGTCTTCAGCGGTTTTCGTTGGATTATTGAAATAGCCGCGGTTGACGACTGGACCGCCAATCACGATCTCTCCTCTGGGGTAAGGTTTATCCGTGACTGTGTAGTTTCCTTTACAATGTTAATCATTTCAAGTTAGAGGATGTTGCCATTTTGTAGTATGGCTTACCGATTCATATCTAAGAAAGGTCAAGGCTTTTGCAGCGCATTTCGATTGAGAGTCGTTAAACTAGAACAAACATGATCACAAAGCCACGTCAGATGAAAGACAATTATCACAGGGTGCCTTTAAAAGGAAAACGAAAAACTAAATGGCCTGAAACACTGGGAACACGAGTGACCAAGGGCTGTTGTCGACCCATCACAGAGCGCGACAAACTTAGCTGCGATGGAATCCCGGACTACTTTCGCCGCTAATGAACAAAAATGTTGTCATGATCATGGTGAGCCTCAATTTGTTGAAACTGAAAATTGTGGGTGTCATTGTCTTGAAGTAGGGTGCACGCGCGAGAAATGCGTGTTTCTTTGCCTTTGTGCGCGCCTCTCTATCTCGCACCTTAGCACCTCTAGCGCTGGCCATGTCTTCGTCTTGTTTCACATGAGGGATTCGCTTTTCACGCCAACAAAAGGCAGTTGAAAGTGACAAAATACACCACATTTACTTTTGACAACCTACCTTCCTCCCAGTTGACAAGCTTGATTTGGGCTGAAGACACTGGAGGCCCCACGCGACCTGTTGTCCTGTCCCACGCTGCCAACAATAAATCAGGCAATGAATCAACCACTCGAACAATTTAGCGTCAACTTAGTGTTGTGTGTGTGTAAACTGTCTAAGAAAATACAAATTTATTGAGCCTGAGGACATGGCTTTTTTTTTCTTTACCCACAGTTGTGACAAATAGAATCTTCCTGGATCTGACAAACAAGCATACAAGTTACTACCTTTCTCAATATACTCGCGTCTTTTGAGATTACTTACCATTGCAGACAGTTCCTGCTCCACACACCTCAGTGAGACCATAACCTTGACCAACAGGACAGCAGAAGCACACATTCATAAAGAACTGAGTGTCTTCAGACAAAGGGGCGCCACCACTGATGATCTGGCGTACACGACCCCCTAGAAGACTTCGCATCTTGGAGAAAATGAATCTGGAGAAACACATGAGGACTGATGTCAAGGAAAGAGCAGAGAGAACTGCACAAAACTCAAGCCTACATGTGACCCAAGTTCTGTAAATCGACCCTGTGTTACAATAATGAGAGGTCAGGAAAACTCTCATTGCAGCCCCATCCTTCTTTCCCAACAATATGTGAGATTGTTACAAAGTCAATATTGGTTTTGAAATCCGTATGACATAATTAACAAATCAAAATTTATATCCGTGCTCAGCAATACACACACTAAGCAGCCTATTGATGTAAGTGAATCAAATAAACCTTGTTTAACTGAACTCAAAATTTAACTTTGAATGAACCATGACTGTAAAAGAGATATCACACCACTAATTGCAGCTTGGCAAAACTTCTCTCTTTTCTCCAGTTTTCAAAGACTTCTCCCATATCAGTACTTTCTCCAGGTGTTCACATATTTCACAAGGATGGAAACCTCTATGTAAACCATCAACTCAGTTCCCTAAAGAACATTACCCCTTTTTTTTCCTTAATTAAGAACATTTTCATCACTCTGCAAAACTTACCTGTTTAGAATAGGTGTATCATAGCCAAGTTTTAGCTGCTTCAACTTGTAGCTGTATGCAAATGAGAAAAACAGCTGCAGAAGACGTGGACCTTCCTTGACTTTCTCCATAACATTTTGCCGTATCCTATCCATGATTGTTGGAACTGCAGCCATTACAGTTGGTCTAAGGACTGATAAATCTCCTTTTGTTCCTTTCTTGATTTTAGAGGACTATAACAACAGTATAAAGAAATAAAATTTCAGCACAATAGACCAGTCATAAATGGCTGCCGGATTAATATTCCTTTGTTTAAATTTAAATTAGCCCTTCTGGCCTCGCTTGAGATAATGTATTCTTTTGAATTTTGTGCTGGCGAACAAGGCCATAAGGGCTAATTTAAATTTAAACAAAAGAATATTAATCTGGCAGCCATTTATGAAAGTGGTCTATAGAAACCAAACTGTTACAACTATGTACCAACTAATAAGGGTTGAAAATAAAATAAAATTTCTTGTTACAGTTAGGTGAATTTTTTTATACCTTTTAAGGAAAGGTATTTAAAAATTAAGGTACTTTTAAAAAGGGTGAACTGAAATCTCGGAAACACAGTTGTTGTTTTCCGCCAGGAAATATTCAGACAAGATTTCTTTCCTTGTTAAAGGGATCCTCCACTGTTTTCGAAAATACCGCTTAAAATGCTCTTTAAGTGTCCAAAAGTAGATTTTTTGGACAGAAAAATGTTCTCTCCCCTTAGATTTTTTGTTTTGGCCTCCCAAGAGGCCTTCATGACCAGTTCGAACATCCCGCGGTCGCCATTTTGATCGGCGCACAAGGCTCTCTGGGGTGATGACGTAAAATGGTTGCTAGACTCCCTTGCCCTGGGTAAAATTGGTAGCAAAATGCTGCATTTCGTTGCTTTTGAGTGTAGTATTCAAGCTAAAAGCAGGAAAGGGGTAAGACTCTTCAAAGCAATGCTGTTCGAAGTGCTTCGAACACAGACATGAGTCTTTGGGCAAGGATGTCCTTCCAACAGCGTGAATCCAAGCTCGTTGAATCGCTGCATCATTCGGAAAATTGTGGAAACGAATTTTGGGATCGTTTTTCCTGTTTTTAGCTTGAATACTACACTCAAAAGCAACACAATGCAGCATTTTGTTACCAATTTTACCAACGGCAAGGGAATCGAGCAACCATTTTACGTCATCACCCCAGAGAGCCTTGCGCCCCGATCAAAATGGCGACGGCGGGATGTTCAAACTGGTCATGAAGGCCTCTTTTGAGAGGCCAAAACAAAAAATTTAAGGGGAGAGAACATTTTTCTGTCCGAAAAATCTACTTTTGGACACTTAAAGAGCATTTTAAGCGATATTTTTGAAAACAATGGAGGATCGATCCCTTTAAATTACATAAAGTGTTAATATTTTGAGCATTGCCATTTTTTTTGTTGGCAGGGTACACAGTTTAGCTCTTCAAGATTGCCAAAATTTACACTTTTTTTGGTGATTTCCTGTTAAGGCATTTAAGAACACTAATAAGGAACTAAAAATTTTTTATTACATGTAACCTTCAGTGCCAACAAAGCACAGAAGTTTAGACCTGCCAGATCTTTAAGCTACAGACTGAGTATTCTGTTATCATTAATGATGCCCTGCATTCCATTTGCCTTCCAGTCAGGAAGAAGGAAAAAAGGAAATATAAATGATATACCTGATCAGAGAGGGTCAGAGTAGTGGAATATCCTATGGAGGCCCCATGCGCAAGTACTGCATTTTCTAAGAAGAAAAAAAAGAATGAATGCCAACATCAGACCTTGATTATTAACAACAATTTTTAACCATTTCTATATATGCCAAAAAAAATAATTGTGAAACAATGACAAAAAAACAGAAATAAAGGAACTGCGTAAACCCTCCTTACAGATGCACACAAAATATTGCATATTAGGTACAATAAAGCAACCTGTTCTCATTTTTACCTGCCAACAGCTCCAAGACATGTGCTAATGGAAGATAACCAACATAGATATCTTTCTCACTAGGAAACAAAATTAAAACAACATTTATTGCATGACTTAACAAACCCTAGAGCAATAGGGCAGGCTAAGCTCAACCTTCATGTCATTCTTTTAAACCCTGCACCAAATCATACTTCATATAACAGGGTTTGTGCACTTTTGACCTGTTAAAATTCCACAACTTTCCATGACTTTCTCCGTGACCTTTTGAAAGATTCCATAACCTGCTTGCAAACATTCTCACAATGCATGCTTCTGTTTATTTCTAATGAAATTAAATCTGATTTTTGGACTCATCAGTTAACTTTTCAACTTTGGGTCTTATTGCCTTTCACTTATGGAGGGCATATTGACTTTCCATGACTATCCAGGCCTGGAAAATGAAATCTTGAAGTTCCATGACTTTCCAGGTTTACCATGACCTGTACAAACCCTGTAGAAGGAACCTGCTTAGTGGAAGTTTAATTACCTAATGTTCAGATCAATTTTTATATCACGAAGGGGCATCATGGGGCACCCCTTAACCCTTTGGCTCCAAAGCATCCAAATTCTCCTTATACCCATGAATCAAACATTTAAGGTCACACGAATAAAGGAAATGATCACCCACTGAAAATCTTGATTGTTAAACAAATTCTCCTTGTCAGCGCATTATAAAATGTATGGAGAACAGTATGGAAAATATGCAGACTGATGTTAGGGTTTAAAGAATAAGTACCTCAAAGATGGCTGTACTCTCCCAATAACACCAGCAACAGCAGCCATCAGAGAACTGTGAGGAATGATGACACCTAACAGGAAAAATAACCACAAGCTCTGTTACCTTTATGAATTAAATGTCTGCAGAAACCATGTTTTTGTGCATGTGAAAAAGGATGATTATGTTACATGAAATACAGTGTAACCTCATGTTTAAAATCAAGTTGGCCAGTAACTTCTCACATGGTAGCTGTACAATTACCACTTGTAAAGTCTATCACTTATTACTTAAAAGTAAACTTCAGGAAAAAAAAGAAAATCATCTAAAGGTCTCGACACTCAAAACGATTCAATATAAATCTAAATCTACCCTGAGCTTTGTGGATCTCTTGAAATCATTTTTCACAGGAATTTCAGAATTGAAAAGTCGTTTAACTGTAGAGTGCAAGCCCTGACAGGGAACTCACCTTTGGGAAGTCCTGTTGAACCACTTGTATACATTATAACTGCAACATCAGCAGGGGTAGGACCTTTCCGAACCATGGAAGCTGAAAGATGAAAACAAACATAAATCCTTATTCTCAGTCGGCAGGCTAGCCTTACAAATCACTCTAATAACATTCATGCATGCTGGTACCTAAAAGGTGTTTCACTCTGCCTAAATGTTTATAATTATTTCCGAGCTGATGCAAATTAACAGCTAGTGGACTGCAGTATGTAGCACACTCAGAGTTTATCTCCATGCCACAAAGCCACAACCATGTTTTGTTACAATAATAAGTGGGAGAAAAATTAGCAAGCTTTGTGTGAAGTCAATGAAATATGAATGAAGTGAATTTGCCATATTATTAGCAAGAGTGCCAATAAAAGCCAGTTCCTGGTGTTGAGCCCCACCTGTTCGATCTTACACAACTGTCTGTTTAGCCTTAACAAGCGCAGGCTCTTGTGTTAGACAGTTGGCAGCCACTTATAGTGTGGACAAAGTTATTGAAACCTCTCTGTTAGTGAGAAAGCCCACAGTTCTCAGGATTTTACACTAATCAGAGAAAATTAGCTCTTCCCTGGCATGTGTAACAGGCTGGTTTTTTGCTCCATTTTTTTTTCCTAATGACATGGGATGGATGATGTATATCCAAATTTAACATTATCATTATGATACGGTCAATTTGTGCCTTAAGGCATGCATGAATAGAGAATCAATGATTATCACAAGTGCTACAACTGTACCAGTGCATATGGTATACATGTGATACACTTGGGATTTTCAAGTCAAAAGTTGAAAACTTACCGTCATCTTGTGACTCCCCAATCTCTTCCACATCATGCATAGAATGGACTTTAACTCTCCTGGAAAAGCCTAGAAGTGCAGATTTCTTCACAACATTTCCAAGGTACACAATGTGCTCAACTTTGGGTAGCCTGTCGATAACAGCCGAGAGCTTGTGGAGCAGAGAAGCATCTGTGATGATAAATCTAACTTCTGTTTCATTGATGCCATGAATGAGAGCTTCATCTCCAAGTGTGGCATAAACTGTAACAACTAAAAATAAAGTGGAAAGGGTGTTAAAGCCTGTTGTTAATCCTTTTATCCCCAGGAAAAGTGGAAAGGGTGTTAAAGCCTGCTGTTCCCTTTCATCCCCAGAAGTGACTAGCATCTAACTTCCCCCTACAGTACAACTGGTGAATCAAACATTTAGGTCGTGAGAATAAAGGAAATTATTGTCAAGTTCTCTTTGTTTGCAACCCACATCAATCCCTTCCATTCTTAACTCTTTAACTGCAAGAGGTGATTCATATGTAATTTCTCCCCATAATATCGGCACATTATCAAGCAAATGGGTAATGAGAATACTAAAACTTATCAGATAGAAGTTGTTATCTTGATCTTACACAAAACTATTTTAACAAATTTACCAGGAGAAATGTAGCAGCTTAAGGGAAGACTTCACAATCAGATCACTTTGGAAGTTTAAGGGTGAACCATCCTTGCTCTTTTCCCTGGTATTAATGTCCACCCAAGCAAACCATTTGAAAAAATAGATTCCTTTCACAGTTCAACTACTCCCAAGAAAAAACAAAATTTGGAGACAAAGCTGGTTGAACACTTATTTTTAGAGCAAAAAAAAAAAAAAAAAAAAAATTTAATGCTGAAAACCTACGAGGGAAATTTTGAGCAAAGCATCCCTGTGCAGCAATCATCCACTCAGCCTTTGTGTCTGAAAATATCACAATATTTTCTTTGACTTGCTGCCCCAAAGCAGCCAATCCTTTTCCAAAAGCTCTCGCTCTGACATCAACCTCAGCATAAGTCAACCAGCTGTATTCGCCGCACACAAGTTTCTTGAACACTCGGCCATTAGGCTGCATCTCGTCTTCTTCTTTGATTATCTCTCGTGTTCCAAGACATTTTCTGTAAGGATACAAGTTTACAGCTCGCCTGGAAGAAAAAAATTTTTCATAAATGAATTCAGTGTTTTTGGATAAATGATGGTACAGAATTTCTACTTTCATCCCCTCCTTTTATAGGCATGCACACACTTCACTATCTCTACTGAAATATATCATCTTCCAGCAATGGACAATACATGTATTAGCATTTACCTTGAGCTATGTTATTTATAATGGATCTTGTAAGTTTTAACATTAATTATTTTGTTTAAAACCTTGAATAAAGACTTTTTATTTATATATTTTATTTATGAAAAAGGTTCCATTAATTTGTCATTAGAATGAGATCCCCTTAAAGACACTGCTTGGCAAAAGCCAAGGATTCACAGGTATTGACCCAAGGAAAAATTAGGAAAATCGTAGAAAATTGACTAATATTAGTAAGAACTGCTAGTAAAAACTCCTTTAACAAAAACTGAGGCTATCAAGCAATGTTGCAGTTAAAGATACAATAGACTTCTTAAATTAAAACATTTGGCTTCAGATGAGGACTCCAAAAGGGTTCAAATTCCAAAACAAAACAAAGCAAATGACAGATTTCCCATGAAAAAAGCTCAAAACACTACACTCAACTGACAAAAAACAAGAGCACATGATTGTCTAAGTCAACTTCCAATGTTAAGTTCAAATCTGTGGACATGATTGGCTAAATTAAGAAATCATGCATGCCATGCATGAATACAAAAGACTTCACTTATGAGAGAGAAGAAACAACAACGTGCCAGACATGGCGCCATCTTCATGTTTTAATGCCTCTGACAGGAACTGGGGTCTCAGCTGGACCTCCTCAAACTTCGTGGCCAATTACTGGAAGAATCTGGACAAATCAGTTAGAAAGCCAAAACATTTTGACAAAATCTGAAATGACTATCCTTAGAATGGATACCATGTTCAAGTTTTTAGAATGTAAATTATTTTGTTTAAATAACTTTTAAGGTATTGATTAGTCTTGTAATTATATTCACACCTTTTCTTCTATATTTAGTAATTAGGAGAACCCCTTTATAAAGCCCCTTTGTAGTGAATTGAGTATCCTCAATAAAGATCTACTTTAATGGTGATGTCGAAGGAAAAGAAGATAATGATTGTACTTTAAAATTGTACATTCACTACTCTCTCAGTTATTATTTATTTTTATTCCAGAAACAAAATAAGCACAACACAAAATATAATATCTCTTTAGGCACAGGGTGGCCATTGGGAATTGCACCAACTGGAGAATATTAGAATTTGACATGACTGTTTCCTCATGCCTAAATGAAAAAATAACACAAACTATTAAAATTTAGCAACAGAGTTCTGTAGTGTATCTTGATGATTCTCTAATCGATGATGCCTAATGAACCCCCATTATAGAGAAACATGATACTGCTAAAAATCAGAGCAGACTGGCAGTTCCATGATCTTACCCCTAATCTTTTTCATCTGATTATAAAGGAAAAGTAAGGCAACTTGAGGAGAATCTATAACACACTCTTGGCAGTTTATTAGTTTAATGGCTGGGAAGTGATAACTTTGGTGACAGCCATAAATCACAGTTACATGAAGAAATAATTATTATCAAAGAAGAATGCCTAGATTCTGTGTTGAACTTGCAACAGCCTTGTAAGCAAGCCAAATTGGAGGAAATCATTAAGCCAAATTGTAATATATTTGTATCACAAAATAAAGTAAAAGCAGAAACCTTGCAATAAGCCTTGCAAGGACTGAAAAGTACTACAAAGCTTTAAAACGTGTACACACAAGGGACATTGCTGTTTCTGGATAGGCTTATTATTGACAAAGATAATTTACTAGTATTTCCCAGCTGAGGGATTAAAAGATAAATTATTTATTTTGATCAGGTCCCAGACAAATTAACTATCAACAGGAATTTGTCTCAATTTTGATGCTTTACAGACTTAACAGCTTGCCATTGACAAGGAATTATTCACTTTAGGTACACTGCCAAGCTAGGGGACAGAAAGATGAAAAATTTATTTTCAATGAATTTTAGGCAAATGTTCAAATCTTGTTCACAATCCCGTCCAGTGTCTGTTAAATCATGCAAGATCTTCATAAGTCTGAGAAATTATCTACATATAAATCTTCAGTGAAAAAGAAAGATCTAAATTTTCACACTGTTTTCTATACAAGAGCAGTCCTGGATAAAATCAGTTTGAATTTTCCACAAGGAATAAACTCCTAATCCTTCTACGTGGCTATTGAGTACTTATCCAACATATCAAGTCCATAAATTTTAAAACACCACAACAGTTAGCAAATCCGACCCCACTGCCTTGCAAAACAGCTTATATTTATTTGATTTTAGTATTAAGATACTTTAAAGCAATATCAATATCGTTAAGATACATGACTGAATAAATATCTAGGCACAACAAAATTCACACAGTAAAATACACTTAAGTTTAGCAGACAAAAATTTAGAATTTATGCATGTATGTGTTTTATGCCTGTTACCGAAACCTGAACACAGGATGTGGACAATGATAAAATAACCTTTGATCTTTGGTCAATATTGTTTCATTCTACGGCAACCTTGAGTGGCCTTGCTATGTGTACTATGTACCAAGTGATACAGGCCATCAGAAATTGACATCAGTCATCGACATGCAAGTTCCAAAACCGGGAAATTACTCGAAACAGGGTTTATTTTTCAGGAAAATATTGTAATTTTCGAAACACCTCATATTTTAAGACTCGTCGTTTTAAAACAGCGGTACGAAATGTTGACCTATTGAACTGAAATCTAAAACCTTCACCACGCTTTACGTCGTATGTATTTACATCGAACGGGAAAATTTTGTTCGTAAAATACTAAACCATCGAAGTTTTCCCTCAAGATCGACAATTTCAGGCTCGCCTAACACAAAATAGTATTTCTTTCAATGCAACGACACTTCAAGTCAAAACTTCGAACAGTTACTCACTTGAACATCTGATCCAACGTTGTGACACCATCGTAGAGAGAAGTCTTCAAAGAACCGAAATGTTCTACACATCGATATGGTCCGCCGGGAAGATCGTTAACTGGAAGAGCTTGTACATTATGATTGGGTCGATACTGCTTTCTACCGACAAAATAATACCACGGTAAAAAGCTCACAATACCCCACAACCAGCCGGCAACGTTGAGGCCGAAGAGAAACACCTTCTCCACCAAAGAGGTCTCCATACTCATGTAACGTCAACAGTGTGTGGTCATAAAAGGGAGATGCAAGTACTAACTCGTACAAAGTCCACGCGCCTCTTTCCAACCCGTCGGTGACATGCGCGCGCATTCAAATACATCAGACCACTTTCCCACGCCGTCCAAATCCCACACCAGACAGAATTTCGCGACTAAATACGCCTCTGGCAGTATTTTAACTATATTTGGCCTTATAGTGTTCTCAAAATATAGATTTGTAAGAGTGCAATAAAAGCGAATACGTCAGTGAGTGAACCGATCTCTCGATCTTTGATCAAGGTCGTTAAATGACTGTGACGTCATAATTAGGTTAGTTCCGGCCGGATCGGGCTTGTTAGGGCTTTTTAAAAAAAAAAAAAAAAAAAACACCTCAGGGGGGGTGGGGGGATCAAACATTTTGTCAACGGGAGGGGTGTTACATTTGTGGCGACTTTAAAAGCCCTAAAAATAAAATTTGAAAGATTTTTTAGGCAAGGATTTTTTTCTCGATCTCTCTCTCCGTTTTCAAAATACACCACGCGTGGCATATGCAAATCGTTTTCACCTTTCCACACCAAAAAGATAAAACATTGGTAATATGATGGCGTACATTCTAAAAAGTAAGCGAGATTTCGGTTATGTAACATCCAACATGATGTAATTTATTCTTACTTCACCGACCGAGTCTTTCAGATCTTGACGAAATCAGCTGATGAGGTCAATCCTATGCCCGAAAATGAGGTGCATTCATTCGTTTGGACAGAGGACGAATCAGAGCTTTCTCACATGACTTGAGGCTTGAGCGAAGTCCAAGTCCGAAACATGTCTTTCATCCACCATCTTGATTTTGTCAGCTGGGATTTACAGGGATTACCTGTCAGTGCTAGACTAGTTAGAAATACCGCGTCCGAGTGTCCGTACCTCACGCGAAATTTTGCTACAGTCACCTATGGAGAGCTCGAATTTTCGACTTCCTCTCACGGGAGCAACACACACCAGCAGCAACTTTCGCTGCATGTCTCGTGAGAGTTCTTCATTTGTCACGATTGAAGTTATTCCAACAGTACGAGTGTTGAAAATGACCCGTTGACCCCTCTCGGTCAAGTCTTTGATATCATGTGCAAATCAGAATCTACTCTCAACGGCGGGGATGCATGTCTCGCACCCATACCTTTCACGGCCAAGTGGTTACGTAATCTACGACAAACAGAAACAGCCACGCTCCAAGGTGACTTTTAGGAGGGGGCGATGTCGCGGTGAGTTTGCGGAAAAAAAACGGCAGTATAAAGAACAGACTGGGGCAAGTACAAGTTGTAGTGAAACGAACACAATAACGTATCACGCCGGGCCAGCGCGCGTCACAAAGCAGCATTGCAGTGTTTTCAAAAATGGCGGCAGAATTAGGAATTTCCGAGAGAAGACTGGGGAGGAGTTAGGTTTGATAAACCCAAAGGGTCTTCCCGCCTTCTGAGGAAGCTGTGTTGCGTCATTCACAAGAGAATGTGGTAGCTTGTTCGATTAGCTTTCAGGAGATACCAAACATGTCATGGTTTCGCTATCGAAGGACGGATTTTCTGCGAGTGACTTCCTTGGTCTAATGGCGTAGATTTGCTCGACACTACAAAGCTAAGTTTTTGGCTCCGATAGAATTTTACAGTTTTCCAAACAACAGCATTTGAAAGGAATATTATACATCTTTGAGACCTAGAGAAGAATCGTATCGTTTTTGTTTTACTGAATTTTGGCTTATGTGTGAATACCCGGGCTAAACGCATAACAGTGTCTTGTGCATTGCACTAGGCGAACTGTTAGCATTATGCCACACAATAAGAACACTCGATTCGATGTTAGTGCCTTTATGAAGGCCCGAAAGGAAGCCAGGCAGACAGCAGTAGAACAGTGTAGAAGTTTGAAGGTAGAGCTTAGCTCAAACACAAGAAAAATTAATAGACTAAAATCAAAGGTTAGTTAATTAAAGTCAGTCAGTGAGGACTTTCATGTAGTTATTGAGTTATATTAGCTTAGTTAACTGAGACATGCTGGTAATAAGCAACAAGATATTCTGTGTTATGTTTTTAAGTACATTACATGTAGGTATACACTGCTAGATTACATTAGTTAGTTATTTAGGTAGCTAGTTATTTTGCTTGTGATATATAATAATGATTATTTTAAGTTAATTGGTTTTTAGAGTAGTTAACTTGAAGATATTAGCTTTGAACAAGCTACTCTGTTAGTTTGAGATTAAAGAAAGTTTACTTTCTTTTCATGTTTTGAAATACTTCTGATTTATTCATCATTCCTGGAAAATGCTACACCTATAAATAGCCACCTTTGATAATTTATTAATTAATTGCTGGTAGCTTTTGTTTTACTTGTGGAATGAACATTTTGGAAGTGAATGATTAATTTAATTTTTGTTACCCAAAGGTTAGTGATTCAGGGGAAATATTGAGAGAATTGACTCATGAAACTCAAAATGTTCAGGTTGGTAGAATAGTCCTTACTATGAGATGATTTTTTCACTGCCGTATAGAAAAAGGAGGTAATGAGGTATTTTTCTTTGCAGTTACAACCTGTTAACACTGATACTAGTTCTCGAACAAGATCCCCAACTATTTTGGTGGATGGGAAATCAAATATGCCACCTAGAACAGCATCAAAAAGACGACAGGAAACAGTGAAAACTGCTTCCCAAATCCATGGAGGATCTGGGAATAACCCGACACCAGCCTTTGATGGGATGTTTGACACCTTAGCAAAAAGATGTAAAGTAGATATAATGAAAGATTATGTTTTAAGTCAGAAAATGCTAACAGAGAAGGTAGTCTCAGCTGTATTTAAGAAAAATTCAAAAGCTTTTGAAAGCTCACCAGAAAATGTAAAGAGGAGCATTGCAGTTTTCTATGGCAGTGGTGTAATGGGCAAGCGAAAATATAAGTCTGTAAGACTTGCATTATCAATGAAAAAAAATCAAACTATAGGAAACAGGATGTCAGCTATTACTGTGATGCCAAACTGCCCTATTCCAAAATTGATGCCTTATAACAAGCTTGTCAAAGAAATAAACCAAATCAGCATTGGAAATGTGTACAAATTAGAAGAACAGTTTCAAGGTGTTATGGAAGATGAAACAACAACAGGTTGCTTTCGAAAGTTAATTGAGTATTTGCCACGCTTAGCAAAATTTTACCTCCGAAAAGGCAGAAAGGAAACCCTTCAGTGGTTTGGCAAAACTGAAGGTACTTTTTTGTTTGCAGTTGGTGGGGATGGCTGCCCATTTGGGAAGAATGAGAGTGCTTGTTCCTTTCTTCTAAGTTTTATTAATGTTGGTAAGAGGGTTGCATCAAGCAATGACAACTTTATTATTTTTGGGGGTAATTGTGAAGAAACTTCGCCAGTTGTACGCAAGTACTGTCAGTTGTTGTGCAAAGAAATTAGTGAGATAGAGAAAAAAGTCTTTGAAATTGAGGGCTTCCATGTAACCTTCAAATGTGCAGAATTGCCAAATGACATGAAGATGTTGGCTATGCTGGGGGGTGAACNGACAATCTCTCAGCCAAGGACATTATCAGCCGACATACCAGCAAACCAGAACGGGGTTTATTTATTTTATAACCCTCCCATTAATTTTCACATCGCAATTAAACTGCTCGTAAACACAGTAAAAAAGCCAGTGGTGATCTGATGGCGAATACGCGTGATTGGCGAAAGCAAGCAAAAAAAGAAGAAAAAAAAAACAGTTTGGTTTCCTTCCATGTAAATAGGAGAACAGAAAAGTTGAAACTCTTGTGCTGACTGTTTCTTTTTCACGGAAAAAATCGGAGGACAAATATCGACGCGGACGGGGGTTATTGCGTGATAACTGCCTTGTGATTTTGCACCATGTGAAGTAAAGTAGCCAATAAAATCGCGCCAAAATTAATGGGTGGGTTATATATATACTTCAATAGAATAAATGTTTGAAAGAAGATCTGCACTGAGCGGGATTTAAACCCACGTCCCCCCCCGTTACTAGTCGGGTGTGATGACCACTACACCATCAGGAAGTCAACTTCGTCATCGAAGTCAGCTTTGTCATCCGCTAAGTTGACTTCGGTCTTGTATCTTTAATTGATCCTTAGTTGGGTTTCATATGGAGTTATAGGCTTCCCCTACCTTGTCACCTTGAAAGTAAAATTTCCCGCGGGAGACCACGTCTCCGATCACATCAAAATCACATCTTCGATTGCCGTGTTGCCAGCATGGTTGTCCTGATTGTGTAGTCGTCATCACACCCGACTAGTAAAGGGGGGGACGTGGGTTCAAATTCCGCCCAGGGAAAATTTTCTTTAAAACATTTATTCTATTTAAGTATGATAGTTTGGGGTGTATAGGGTAGGGTCAGGGTTTCCCTCATATACAGAATATATATGTAATTCTTCCTTTTAACAAAGAGTGATTCATTCAAGAAAGTTTACAAATCGACAATTGTTTAGCGTGGTCCGTACTCTTATCAATAATTATATTCATCCTCACCGTCACCGTCACGGTCAAAATGAATGTGGACCCACGAGGCGCAGCGTGACAGGTTGCGTGACGTTAACGCGTGCAGCGGTGTCTGTTCTCTTATCGACAACGGCAAGTACGCCAATTAAATTGAGGCCATACTGCCGATTGTGGTAAAAAATGTGGATTTACCTTCGAGACATTTTAATTAGCCTTTTCTAATGGTGCCCTCTTTTTTCCCGAAGTTTTTCTTAGGAGTACAATTAGTTCATCATCTATGAGATGCTGATAAAAATACAAGTATTGGTTGAATTCACTGAAGCAAAGTTGACAGGTAATACAGACTTTTGTTTAGGTTACGCTTGATGGAGAGGAGTTTGACAATCAGAACGCGCAATACAATACCATGCATTTAAAAGCATATTAGTTCTATAAACTTACTTTAATTGATAAACATAATTGGTCAGAACGCCTCCGATACCATCTTTACAATTGCTATCTTCGGCTACTTCGTATGTCTTGTAAGCCTTCCCTAATGTTTTGTCCGTCCAGCATTCGCCATTGTTTTGCAACGCAAAGTATTCGATCTTTTTATCACGTGCGACGTACGCACATTGCAGGACTGTAATCCCCGGATCATCTTCATTTCGTTGAGCCACGAAGGTTGCAAATTTATCTTTGAGAAGCCTCTTGGAGCCTTTGTTCTCCTTGAAGCAGCCAATTGCAATTGGCATTGGTTTTGACTCTGAAATTAGAACGGAAAGTTGATAGTCTGTGCCGTACCAGGCGTCCGCAGTTTGAGAAGGGCTCTATCATCTTAGCTGCAACATACTACTTTTATAATTTCATTATTTTGTCAACTTAACAACATATTACGACTGGAACAGACATGTATCCCCTTAAATCTTTTCTGCAGCAGCCCAGAGCCACTCTTATAGCCAACTTGTACTGGGAATCAATGAAGAGATAGATGTAGCAAGCTAGCTACTCAGATTGTTGTGTTATTTATTAATTCCATTTCACTTCAAACTCACCAAATGTAAACACACCGATGGAAGATCTTACTCCTATGCCATTCTTGCAATCTTTGGCAACAGCGGCCCCTTTCGCGTAGTAACTGTTTTTAGCGGTTGCACTAGACAAGCACTTTCCACTAGCGCCCAAAGCAAAATGGGTGTAACCTTTATCGAATGCAAGCTCGGCACACTCCAAAATGTAGCTATTGAAGTTAGCTGGATCATAGTCTTTGTTAGGATGTGCAAGAACTTCCTTAAAACCAGTCTTCGGTATCTTAAAACAACCAATGTTACTGAAAGATGGTACTAGACAAAAATAAAACGAACATTTTTTTTTAGACCCTAAAAGGCTGTTCTATTTATTGCATGTTCACTAAGACAAATATATAAAATCATGTTCAAAACCTCAATAGGCCATTAAACTATTTTCTGTGAATTTTTTTCGACTTAGGACGGGAAGGGTAACCTTTATAGCAGTAATAAAATGTTATTTCTCTCACTGATAAGTTCTAAACTTTGCGTGCCAATTGTTTTAACAAGATGCAAGATCAACAGTGCCTTTTTTTCGCCTTTTTAGTCGAAGTATTCGATGTCAAGGAACGATTGTCGGTACTTGGATGGAACAATGGGGAATGGGGAACTTTGGAGATGTACCATGAACTGAATACCATTTTTTTCCACTGTAATATATACAGAGACAAGAGATTGAACTTGCAGTTTATAATCTCTTGCAAGAGACAGATGTCATATGGATAAACGCTTTTCTTACACTTGTCAAGTCAGTTTTTTCGCTAACCTTGACAGTTAATTCCACTAAAGTCGCCTGTGCAATCACAGTGGTATTTTGTTATGTCTTTTTCGTCGTTACGGCAAGCTGCTCCATTTACACAGGGATCGCTATCACATGGATACGACTGAACTAGAATCATAAAAAAACCAACATGTTTTGTAAAGAATAAGAAAGCTGGTAAGTTTTGAGCTCTGTATAGAAATAGAGAAAGGTTTTTTTAGTCTTGTGTTTCCTTTCTAAAGGGGTGCTTTCACCGAGCTGTTCTGAACTTTATCATTAGAACAAACAGAACTCGTACCTCACTTTTCCGTGATTTTTTCTTCAACAGAGTTACTATTTTGTGGAATAGTATTCCTGATGACATTGAGTTGGCTACTTCCCTGGACTCCTTTAAGCGCAAGCTCAAATCTTTTTTTCTTCTGGGGTCTGCATTATGTCTTTGGTGGGGATAATAATTATTCGCTCGAACAAGATTATTTGTCCAAAATGCAGAAGAGTGAATATAAGAAACGCATGTTCTTGTAAAGATGCTTTTATTTAATCATATATATGTTTTGTTTTTTTAGGTCTGAGTCCTCATGAGGAATGGAGCCTCAAACCTTCAGATTCCTCGCCACAGAGACTCTATGGTGACCAAGGCTCTTTACTAAGTTCATATATTGACTCGCGTTCTGCAAACTACCAGGATGGGCAATGTCGATAGGGTTATGTTTCATAAAGAATGAGAAAGATGGCAAGGTTTCAGAATTTTTTCTTTGTCTCACTCTCGTGTCAAGACGAAGAACGTCTTTCAATATTTCTACAAATCAACATGTTGGAATCACTAATTTCCTTAACCTCTTGAATAACGTACGGTGTATCGATCACAAAGAAAAATGAATCCCTTTTTTAAACGACACTAACCTTCGCAATTCTTCCCACTGAACATTTGCTGACATTCACACGAGTACTGCATAGGATCTTTCTTGTTCACCACACAAAACCCATTGTTCTGGCAAGGATCATCATCACAACCAGTTGAATAAGAATACGAGGCTTCAATACGATACACAAAGTTTGCCATCTCTTTGCCAACTCCACCTGCACAATGGTCGGACTTTCCGTACTTATTGTATTCTTTAGCTATGGCATTACTGGTCCAACATTCCACTTGATTTCGTATAGCGAAATACTCAACGCCCTTGTCTCGGGCCACAGTAGAACAGTACGCAACCGTAGATTTGGGGTCGGAGGTACTCGAGAAGCTGGCGTAGTTATCAGTCAGTATCTTCTCGGACTTTTCTTTTTCCATAAAACAGCCTTGTGGGACAGATTTGGGTGAAGGAACTATGAAAGATAAAACAAAAAGAATTTGAATCAACTGTCAGACGATGATGAATCAAAAAAGTTTTTTTTTTACAACAACAACATCAACAACAATAACAAATTTATTTAAGCTTAATAAGAAAATTACAATGTTTGGGCCCGCAAGTAGCTAGGGCTATTCGAGGCGGGCACAAGAGAGGAAAATAAAAAAAAAAGAAGAAAAGAATTATATAGAAAATGAATATTTATATGTATAATTATAATATATAGACGAACAATCCTAAAAGAAATCTAGTTTGCTGTGTGGTTTATAGACAGAATGAAACAGGAGGGCAGACTGTAGTATATACTGGAAGTACACACAGTTACAATTTTGAGAATTGTACTCTAATATTTAACAAATGGTAAACACCACAGCGTACACTATTGAGTTATGGATGCACTTGGGAAGTTTGCTAAACACTTAAGAAGCTAGAGTCGCTCTCGGCTATCGCCTCGAGCGACTCTTACGCTTCTTTCGATAGCCGAGAGCGACTCTAGAATGTAACGATTGCCAGCGAAGGCTACACTGTGGCAAGATAAAACCCCGCGAGTATGACCGAATCAAGTTACAAGCTACCAAGACCTGGCTTTGTGATACACGCTTATGGTCGCAATTGTCGTTTCACGATAACTGTCAACTATCTGATGTACCAGACAAGGAGAATTTTTCAAACCCTGATGCATCAAGTGATGTTCCAGACACGCTAGGTTCCGAGAACTACGATAACATATACACGCTTGACAACGATAACTACAATAAACTCACCAAATGTAAACACACCGATGGAAGATCTTACTCCTATGCCATTCTTGCAATCTTTGGCAACAGCGGCCCCTTTCGCGTAGTAACTGTTTTTAGCGGTTGCACTAGACAAGCACTTTCCACTAGCGCCCAAAGCAAAATGGGTGTAACCTTTATCGAATGCA